TAGATGCAGTATTGGGGTAGGGACTACCGGCGTTCCCTGTTACATTACAATACTCCCATTTATTTTTTTCAGGGTAACGTCAGGGTAATGTGGGGGTTCCGCCAAAAGATGGTACCTTTTTGTGAGGGGGTTTTGATAAATGACGTTTTAGGGCTTTTGTCGCCCCCCCCTGTTCATTTGGCAGCCAGGACTTTATGAAGAGTGGCATGTTTGGACCCATTAGGGGGGGGGGGGGGCGTCTCGGCGAGGTTGACAGAGAAATGCTAGTGCTTGTGGGAATGCTTGTGGGCAATAACACGGGGTTTATTCATACCCGCCGGGGGCTAATACTGTACTCCCCGTCAGTGCCAAGCATGTGGGTTCGATTAGTGTGGCATCATCGTATGTGAGGATGCTGTGTTGCCGTGCCAAGTATGTGGGCTGCAATGGGTGTAGCATCATCATATGTGAAGATACTGTTTTGCTGTGCCAAGTATGTGGGCTGCGATGTGTGTAGCATCATCATATGTGAAGATACTGTGTTGCCGTGCCAAGTATGTGGGCTGCGATGGGTGTAGTATTATCATATGTGAAGATACTGTGTTGCCGTGCCAAGTATGTGGGCTGCGATGGGTGTAGTATTATCATATGTGAAGATGCTGTGTTGCCGTGCCAAGTATGTGGGCTGCGATGGGTGCAGTATCATTTTTTCTATGTGCATATGTATGATTTGTGCACGGTCGTGAAGGGTTCACTGTTCGATGTGGGGGTGAGCCACCGGTTCACCCCTGTTATGGACGACCGAGGCCAAAAGCCAGAGAGACCTCTGGCAGATACCAGGCAGGCGCAAGAAATGAATCCCTTATCTCTCGGCAATGCTTCTTGATGTTGATGTTGTTGTTCTTGTGGTGGACGTTGTATACCCTTTGTTTTGCGTGACTTGTACCCTTATATTGTGTGAATTGTATGCGTACCCTGTTTGTGTGTCATGTACCCTTTTCATTGTGCCAGATGTGCCCTTTTATTTTGAGAGGTGTACCCTGTTAAATGTGACTTTCACCTTTTTTTTTGCCCTCGTCCGTGAACTTGGCTCCCGGCATGGCATGACATGACATGACATGCAGCATCGATCTTCGTGGAGTTCGACAAGAAGGAGGCCGCCGAAAAGGCTATCGCCCGTTCGGAGGACTACTTCTACGAAGGAGAACCCATCGCGGTAAGAAGCACCTTCGCACAGCAGTACATGTACCACCGCACAAGTCGCAGTTGGGCCAGCAGGCAGGGCAGGTTGCCCTTCCACTGCCGTTGTTAGCGTCTTATCGGCGGGCACAGGCACTACCGTGAAATAGCTAATTTTGCCATCGTACCTCCCCTAAACTGGCTTTTATTAGCTTTCCACAGTCAAATTGGTTATCGCACACACCCTTGCTTTTAGACCGTCTCTAAGACCTCAATTACCCCCCAACCAAACTAGCCGTCGAACACCCCTAGATCGGCTTCAAGAGAGCTCAAATTGATCCACCGCCAAATTTACCTTCGAAAACCCCCTTTTGCTTGTAGACCGGCTTTTCAAGGTCAACTGCTCCACAGCCAAGAGGCTGCCAAAATACCCGAACAGGGTTTGCTCATGGAACGATCTCGTCGAGAGCTTTGTTAGCATTCCTTGCACGTGTTACCTACCGATCGGGCATGCAACTTGTTACAGTACCCTCTTGTTTGAGAAGCAACCGGTCTAAGAACGTCGGTGTAGGGGGGATGCCTTTACAATGACTATACTATATATGGTATTTAGCACTGCTACGGTAGCATAAGTAAGAGGCGGAAAGATGGTACCCCCCCCCCCCCCGAGACCGAGTTCCAGGTCGATTGCCCCCACAACCAACATTTTTTTTTTTTTCCGTCCCATCTCTGGCGCCTCCTGCTTACTCCTCTTCGGTGCACACTTCACGTTTGCCGCGTATGTGCACACTTCTCAGCGTACTTGGTACACAACTAGCTAGACGCACCGTCCGGGGTCACACAGGAGGGGGTACCCATTGTGCCAACGCCAAAAATGGTGATACTGCAAACATTTCGTCGAGGGCCTTCCGAAGACGTATCGTACTCTTTCCGCGCCCTGTTGGTCGTGGAGAAATCAATTGAGCGTTGAAAACCGGTCTAGGGGGGTGGCCGTCTCTCCGCCTCTTACGGAACACCACGGTACGCTATGTGGTACTCTACAGACAATCTTGGTCGTTGAGTAATCGAGTTTTGAAAAACGGTCTAAGGGGGGTGTGCCATGACTATTGTAGCACTGCTGTTGCAGTATTGAAGTCATTGGCTTTGTATACTCCGACGTCGGGCGCTGTTTTGGCAAGGACGCGGTCTACGGTACTTGTTGCTTGTCTTGGGACGTTTGTGACTACATCGGCATGCTTGAAGTCAAACCGTATCGCGACGGACTAAATTTCTCCTCCTCGTTGGCCTTCTAGAACGTTTCGCTGCGCAAGTACATTCGCATTCCAAACGTTTCGTCACTTACATGCCTTCCGTCTCGATACTATCGGACGGAGTTCGCGGTAAGGCTGAATTGTTGTTCCGCCAGCTGAGAAAAACCGTACCCCTTGACTGAGGAGATCTTCCGTACCAGCTGAGAAAAACCATGCGGCGGACTGACAAGAAATCTCTCAACATTCCATACCAGCTAAGAAAAACCATGCCGCTGACTGAAGACATCTCAGTATTCCATACCAGCTGAAAAAAAAACATGGCACGGACTGAGGAAATCTTCCGTACCAGTTGAGAATACCCGTTGGCGTACGGAGCGGGATTGCTGACGGCTTTCAACCTCCTCCTTCCCTTGTCGTCTGTACAAGAAGGAAGAGGGAAGTGTACATGACTGAGCTGGGAAAAGTAGAAGGAAAGTACAGAGAGATGTTTGGGGCATGAGATCGCCAGGAGAAGACGTTAGCTGTGCTGGGGCATAGGAAGTGGGGGAGAAAAGGCTGGAAGTGATATCGGTACGATAGATGGACTAGGGAAGACAGTTGAGCCACCTTTGGGAAAGAAGGAAGGAACGATTGGCCATCGGTGATCGGTCCTGCGGGAACAATGCTCCGTCCTCTCGAGTACGCGTGGTCACTGGTCTAACCGCTAAGGCATGCAAAACATAAAAGTACGCCCCCCCTCCCCCCCCCCCCACTATCGCGCCGTATTTTGTTGAAGGTGAGACCGGCGAGGAGCGACGAAGAGCGTGCTGCCGCTCACACCGCGCCAGGTGAGTCAGTCAGTCCGGTAGTCCATCAACGCGCATGACAAGGTAATGTCGCACTGCTTGCTCTCTGCTTGCTGTCTGATTACCACCGTTGCTCCCTCTTGGAGTGCGGGTCGGGGCAGCGAAATGATGTGCTGGGAGAGTGGTTTCCGCTGGCTGTTGTAACTGTGTACGTATCCTGGATCAAGTGTCTTTCGTATTCCGGAGTAATACCACGGTTTTTTCGTTTCCCGTATGCATTTGTACCATATCGTGTTTTTACTTCGCCTGGAACCTCAGTATCCCTCGTGAGGGTATGACGCATGTAATGAATGAAGTATTTGTGCCGTTTCACCTTTGTGCCGTTTCAGCCTCAATCCTACGGTAACATCCTAACCGCCAGCCCCATGACCCTCGTCCCTTTTGAAACTCATCCATCACCTTTTTAACCAGCTCCTGAGCCCCTTGTCTACGAGGCTGGGAAGATCATTCACGTGAGTGTGCTCACCGTGTATGACACAAGATAACACACCCCCTGGACCGATTTTCAAAGCTCGACTGCTCCACGGCGAAGATAATGCATAGACGAAACGATACGTTTTCAGAGAGCTCTCGACCAGAGGGCTTCAACGCCGCCGTTTTCGGCCCTTCGGTTGCTGTTGCTGCTGTTGAAAAATCTAGGTTTGAAAATCGGTCCAGGGGGTGTGTTATCTTGTGTCATATGCTGTATTCTGTTCCTGCTTTTGTTGTTGTCGGTGGCGGTTGGTGTTGCTGCAGCCCACGCAAAACGCCTCCGAAGTGAGGTGTAGCAATGGATTCACCGGGAGACCTGTCATTACCGTAGGTGACCTGACATGACGGAAGATATCACACCCCCTGGACCAGTTTTCACAGCTCGATCACTTCACAGCAAGGAAGAGTCCTGGCGTTGAAAGTGGCGACGTTGGAACCGGCTAGCCGAGAGATAGCTTTCCGAAAACGCAGTATCGTTTGTTTTGTTCATCCGCTTCGTCGTGGAGTAATCGAGCTTTGAAAACCGGTTCAGGGGGAGGTGTTATCTTGTGTCACGTGGACGTCAAGCGTTTTGTGTTGATGAACACCTGCTGGCCGGCAGTTGGTAGAGCTTTCGCTGAAAAGGTTAAATGTTCGCACCAACTGCTCTGGTACATAAACTCCCGGTATGACTTATGACGACCTGTAAATGCTGTCGTAGCGTAACCATGCAGATCGATCTCAAACCATGGTGTGCGTGCTGGAAGGGCATCGAGCGTGCGTCAATAATTTGTGTGAACACGCCATCATACACGTCAAAACTTGCTGAACCCTGTAGTGAAACATGTACACATTGTTGACGTCTGTTGAAATTCTTGTTTGCCAACGTCTGATGTATCTGTGTATGTATCGATGCAGATCGCTGGCATCCCCGAGTCTGGAGTATCGCGTGAGAGCCTTAAGAACGCCGTTGAGAGCTTCGGGACGGCTTTGTACGTCGACTTTTCCTTCGGGGGGCGCGAAGCCTGGATTAGGCGAGTTACATTACAGATAAACCGTAGGATGTTAATTTTATACATGTATGGGGAGTGGGTGTGATTGTCCGCTCTCGTTGTCGCGGGAGGTCTGGCTTAGGCGAGTTATAGCCATACCAACACCTCAGGATGTGAAAGTTTGGGGCGGTAAGAAGGGATCCATTCGCATCGGCGACGATAGCCTTGAAGCCGTAAATAGTAGACCTGCCTTCGCCCAACAACATAATCAAAAAGCCGTACCTTGGTTGTCTTCTCTTGGTATGATCAACTTTGTGATGTGAGGAGGAACTATGTTCAAACCGCGGTTGATTATGATGCACCAATCGGGAGATATCCGCAGTCCCAAGCTTGCGCTCCAACCCCGAAGTGATCATCATAGCTTTTGTGGGCTTTTTTGCGTCCTGTTGTTGGATGTGTTGGATGCCGTAGGCCTACACCAGCCTGACACTCCATCCCCAAGTGACCCCCCAATCTCTCGTGGTCCATTTTGTGTTAGTATTAGGTGTGTGTGACGCCCGTGCGCCCTCTACCCTTCTCGGCCTGTTTTTTGTGATGACCTTCGTGTGATGTTGCATGTTGTCTGATGGGTGTTCACCCTCTTGCTCGCGTGACCTGTCTTTGCTGTGTCCTGCTACTGACGCCGTAGTTGCAATCACCCCCAACCCCGAAGCCATCCCCCTAAATTTCTTTGTCCTGGTCGTTGGGTGTCGTCTGATGCGTTGTGTCGGTGGGGCAGGATGCAGAACCCGGCGGAAGCCGCAGCGACGGTGTCGGGTGCGAAGGAGACAGACGGGCTAACGCTAGCGGCGGAGGTGGAGGACAAGGGAACGGTGTCGCTGGTGGAGGGGGCCGAAGAGAAAGATTACTACGTGAGACTGACTCTGCACTGCTGTTGTGGTTGTTGTCGTTGTCTTTGTTTTTGTTTTTGTGTTTTGTTGTTGTTTGATTATCGCTCATCAATCCTCAACGCCCCGTGTGTGTTGTAAAGCGCCTTACATTCGTTTTTGTCGTCCTTGTTTTGCGTTTGTTAGTTATATAACTTTGTGCTGTTTTTGTTGCCGTGGGTGCTGTTGCTACTCTTTTTTAGAAAGTATACGTACAATCACAGAAGGTCTAAGTACCCATTCAAGATACAGTGGGGGTCCCTGGTTAGTGCCGGTATGTGCCCAGAAAATTCACCGGTATGTACTATACCGAACGGGCACTATTCAAAGTACTGACAAATGACATGGAGACTCAGTATGTGCCCGCCGACTACACCGGCACTACCGTATACGACGCAAGATAACACACCCCCTGGACCGACTTTCAAAGCTCGATTACT